TGACATGTCCTCAAAATCGTTTATAATGAATGGTATAGAACTGAAGATAGGCTCTTTTGACACTTTGTTCCGGACTTTATGTACACCAATGGGAAGCGTGAAATTCAACATAACTTACTTTAAGAACTATTTTTTTCTACGATACCATTCCTTTGTCATAGGAAAATAAAAGAAGCATCTTCATCACTTTTGTAACCTTACTGAACTTCCATTGTTTCATGCCTTAGAAGATTAAAGAAGAAAACGCATCTACAGTTGAACTTTGCTCGCATCACAAAGCTGCAAGTTACATTATTTATTTGTTATCATTAAATATAAAACAGGCAACTATTGAAAAAAAAATAAATGATTGTAAATCATTAAATTAAATTTACTTTTAGAAAAAGATGCAATGGCATTTAATAGCGTATTTAACGTTAAATTATTTGAATTTAATTTAATCTCTATATCTACACTTTGTTAACGGAAATGTGTGTAATCCGTCATTGTATACGATTCCTAGGAAATGTATGTAATTCCTAAATCGCTCGGAAATGTGTAAAATATATTAGACACATTTCGTAAATAACATTCGGAAATTTATTACATTGAAGATGTCAATGGGTACTGGAGGTACCGATCAGGCGAATTATTGTATTCACAAATAACTCTGATTCTCAGTTTACTAACGTGTTTTATCCATTTTCTTCACAGAAAGCATTAGTTTTATACATTTCCTAGTACAATATCGGAATTTCATACAATTCCTAGGAAATGTATATATTTCGTAGAATATGTGTGTATTAAAAAATCTTTGAAACAATATTGTATAGATTTTCTGAATAGTCTCGGAATTGTATATATTTCTTAGGAGATGTATACAATTCCTAGTTTTCATACATTTCCGGTAGCATATATTCGTAGTGATTAACAAAGGAAGACTAAAACAGACGATATAAGCTTCGATCTTGCTTTTGAACACTTGTTCTTGTTCTACTACCTCTTTGGTCTCGAATTTATAAATTTTCTAGTATCGCTTACAAGCATCTAGATTTCAGACTACTGGATTTCAGTTCAACCGTATTTTGAGAATTATAATCAAATAGCCGATGCAAATTTGGACAGATAGGTACCGTTGTCGTTGATGTATATGACTTACACATACATTAATCATGGCGAACCCCATGCCATAATCCAACCTAAGCCCTTGGTGCATACTGCATAGCACTTATCCCTGATGCTTTACGTTTCTCACCACAACTTAACGTAAAGCCTTACTGCAAAGCTTTTCGTCCTTGCTCGTATAAACTTCAAATGTGCCAATCAAAGAAACTTACAAATATAGCCAACATTTTCTACCTAAAATTATTAAGCTACAAATACTATAAGCATATTATTATCAACTTAACATTTTCAATCAACATGCAAAACAATTTTATTGTTTTTCATTGCAACTTTAAACACAGTAGCGTTAATTCTCACAACAGGTAATTTCGTCCGCGCGGCGCACGTTTAACCACAGTTACTACAGCCAATCTATCATCCAACATTGACATTTAAACACGTCTAATGCGTCAACGTTCGTGATTTTTAATTAAAAATTTTTATTACGAGAACATCCTAGATATCAAAAATCTTTTAATTAATCGTTTTGATAGTCAGCTAATGCTAGGAAGACCTATCATCAGAGAAGATAACTCCACCGATTTCCATTTCTGATTTCCTACGTTAGAACCATAGAGATTAGCACATTATTAAATTATCATATCTGACTTTTTCAGAGAGATTATAATATTACCCTCACATCAGTTCTTTTTAAACTCCACAAGTTAATTTTATAATATACTGTAAGGTCCATAATCGATGTCAATCAAATTTAAATGAAATGCAGAAACGGAAAACGAATTTCGCACGATGCAGTTGGTACGTACATCACTTGAAGAAATTTACATATTTCAACAAATCGTTCACTCGACTGGAAACGAACTTCGAATCAGCAGTTTTCGAGAGGACGTCGTCAGCCTCCTGTTTCCACACAGCAGTCAAATACTGAATGAAATCGCACTGATCGTGAATAATCTTCATCGTTGCGAAATGTAGTGACAGTTGAGTCAATCGAATGCAAACTCGCTTTTAATAGACTGCTCTTCTTACTTGACAGCACCAATAAAAAGATCTTCAATTTTAAATTACAACTTGAACTCTGCTGACAGAACACATTACTCGCTGAAATAATTCGTGCACGTTGAAAGACACAAGACGATAAGTATTTTCGATGTACGATTCAAAAAAATTCATGGAAAAAACGTAACGAGTTTTCGCCATTTTTATTATTCATTTATTACTTTGGTAACATGTCGATGAATAAATCGTAAAGAATGTTTTTGAAAGATAGACATTCCTGCAGAAAAGTATTCGATTCATCATCATCATAAGGTCGTCAGTCCTAAGACTGGTTGAACACGCACCTCCACTCTTTCCTATCCTGAGCTAATCTTCGCCTTTTTCCTAAAACTAGAACAACCCATATCCTTAACTATTTGCGAACAGTAATTCTAATCTAGATCTACCTCTCCCTACCCCTCCTAACTTCCGTTTCTGCCTCCAATATATCTCTGACCAGACCTTCATGCCTGAAAAGGTGTCCTATCAACCTATCTCGCCTATTTCTTATTGACTTCCATAGAGTTTTTTCTTCTCCTATTTTTTCTAATACCTCTTCATTTTTAATCTTCTCTATCCACGATATCATCATCATTCGCCTGTAACACCACATTTCGAACGCTTCTAACCTTTTCTTTTCCGCCGCGTCCACTGTTCATGTTTCGCACCCATACAGCGCCGCGTTCCAAACATACACCTTTAACAACCTTTTTCGACTTTCTAAATTAACCGTTTTCGAGCATAGAAGTGACTTCTTTTTATTGAAGGCGACTCGACCCTACGTTATCCTCTGCTTTATATCCCTACTACTCCTTCCGTCCTGACCTACCTGACTTCCTAGATACCTAAAATCAGTCACTTCTTGTAATTTTTCGTCTCCTATCTTTATATTCGCTCTTTCCTTACTTTTTCTTCTTTCGATTACTGACTCGCAAAAGCTATTGTAGTTAGAGATGTTGGAAGTTAAAAATATCGCGTAGAGAAATAGTTAGAAATTAGGAGGCATTGAAAAGAGTAAGAGATCAGAAAATGTAATAGAGCCTAATAAGAAATATGGTGGTAATGCCGCTTTTGAAGGGCTAGTTAGGCATGATAGAAATAGAAACAGGAGTTAATAGGGGCAAAGGTAAATCTAAACACTTAGATTGGATTACTGTTCACAAAGATTGGCTCATTGATTGATGATGATTATGATAATGATGCTACATACTTCGTAATACCAACCTAAACATTTCAACAAAGAGTAATTTTGAACTTTTGTAAATAGAAGTTGTGTATAGGAATTTAAGTTGCAAATGTGTCCTTCACACTTTTTTCTGGTGATTTTCATTTTTTATTTCGATTAACATGATTATTATAGTAGTTCTCAATGGGTACGTGTTTATTGTTAAATGTTCCGCACCATCTACCGCCGGGCAGAGATCTTATCACCATGTTAATACCAACGTAAGGGATACGAATGTTTCCATAAACGTTCCATAAATGGATCTTTAGACAGTAATGTGAACGGGAGACAATGTGTGAAACTGTTTAATTTGAATTTCAATCCAATTACGGCTATTATTGCTACATTAACAAGCAGAACTGGAACGAGACTGTTCACTGTCTACGTCTAGATAAGAATCGAGTCAAAGCTCAAAGTGCTAATAAGGTTCCAAATCCAATTAAGCAGACTAACTTGCCGCTGTGCTCTAAATTAGTTGCTGTTTCTAGCCTAATCTCTCTGCTGCTTGCTATTACCTCTAAGATACAACGTTAGCACAATGGTTTAAGCTCTGGTGTCTGACTTCACAGGTTAACATTAAATTTCCACCCCTCGTCATTCTCCCAACTGTTACATGTACAAAGTAATAATAGGAATTCTTATAGGTGACCCCAGCCATTTTATTCATTTTTACAAGAAACTTTTCGTAGTTTGTTTGGGTCACTTTGTTATAGAAGGTTTTGAGGAGGACTTAGAAAACGAATAATTAAAACTAGATAACAACAACATATATTTACAACTTGTAACAAAAAGAGAAGAGAAGAGACTTGTTCTGTTGAAGGTGTAAGATGAACTGATTGTATTTTATGAAAAATGAAAAACTGTTCTACAAGGAAGGAATAGAGAGGGTAGTAGATACGAGTAGGGAAGTATTAAAATATGGAAACTTTAAGATAAGAAATACCAAGAAATTGATAGCCAGTCAACCACCGAAGAAACCGATTGTAAAAATGTAATTAGAAAGGAATGAAAGGTACAGACGTCATGCGGTTAGTACACGAAAGATGAAATGTTACAGGGATTATGGGAAAGTACAGTAATAGAGTTATTTAAATAGATAAGAAAGATACAATAGATTATTTACAAAAGGAAGGAATTTTTATAGACCCTAATCGAAAACAGAAAAGAAATATTTTATAAAGGTATTCACAATATGTACATGAAAAGAAACAATTTTCAAACATGTGGTGGATATCGCCACAAACTATTGCGTTACTCCAATAGTCGTCCGTCATATGTCTGTCTTGAAGACCAAAACTTTTTGACAAGTTACGTTCGAAACAACTTCCTATTTCGTATTTCGTGACAAATTTATCGAAACTGAAACGGCGTTGCTAATTTAATTGATTATTAGTTAAAGAATGCGTCTGGTCACATTTAAATTACCGAGTTAGGCTTGACTTGGTAATCCGTAAATTGAAGAATTGCATGTCGGGCGGCGGGCAGTTACATTTAATGCATTTATAATTAAGGCCAGATTGGCTAAAATCTGTTTGCATTTCTGTAAAGGCCACTTTGATATATCATTCGTAGACGTAGGAGAAATTTGAAATTCAGCAGTGCGTTCCAAGACTGATTAGCATTTTTATTGCAGGTTACGGGAAGAAAGGGTGGACCCCGACAGGCCTTTGCCCCTTGATCAAAAAAGCAGGGAACTCAATTCACGAAGCGGTAAGTTGAATACTTTTTCGATATATATATTTCCTTTAAAAAAAATGTGACTTATTAATAACTTAATAACTATCGAGTTGTTCGGAAAGTCATTTCGTTTTTTCCCGACAGAGGATTTAATTGTATTCTTTAGCACCCAACTTCACATTTAAGCCGTATAATTTTTATATGCTTTGAGAGCTCATATAGCAAGGCTTGTGTGTGAAAAATTCCAATTAATTCTACGCNGAATTTCAAAAAATACCATGAATAAGTTACCATGGATTTAATTCAAGTAATTAATTAGCTAACATATAGAAATTCAGATGTCAAGTTTACCTTATATTTTGCTGTACTTAATAAATTGTAAGATATCATGGACCATACCAAGGATCTCCCACAATCCTTATGGAAAATCTTTGAACATTGACATCCCATAGTTTACATTAATTTACTTTTTAATTACACACCAAAGAGAGCATTATTTGTAGACTGATTTTTCGTATCATTTAATGCGAGACATGAATAGAAACTATTTCGTTATGAATGCATTTGACTATAAAATCCCTCATTTATTCTACGTATCTCTCACACTGTTTGTAACATAGGATGCAACTGAAGTATTTTAACTGTTTAAAAACTTTTTACAAAAGAATGCTGAAACAGCAAAGTTGTTAAATACAACACTCGTAATGAAAATAACTAAACGCTGTATCACACAAACATGTTTGTTTTAATTGAGTTATTCGGAATATGCCTAACTGGACGTACAGAGTTCATTACATAACGCAGTTAATTTGCAAGTTTCTAGTCCTCTTTCGGCTTAATTAATTACCACTAATCCGACCGTTTGAAAGCCGAAAGAGGCAAAAATGGTCGGTCCAGTCAGGAGCATAAATTAAGAGGGTTCGCACTGACCGATAGCCAGTGTCTACAAGAATCTTTGCCCCGATTTATTTCGAGATTTAGCTTCGCATTCGTTTCGATTTCTGCCTATATGCGCGTTTAATTGTATTCCCCCGCGTGATTTATTCCAGTCCCGATTGAATCCTGACAGACCGTATTTGTTTCCATCCAATTAAAACTGTCTGTTTTGTACAATACGATATACAAAATAACATTAGCTACTAAAAAAGTAACAAGATTTATTTCTAAAAGAGAGAAAAACGGAATGGACTTGAAATAAAATCTAATTTTACCGTAGTATGTTCGGTGTCAGTTTAGATACGGTCTACCTATGACGTGTGATCTACCTGTTCCCACCTGTATTTTAATATGCTGTCTACCTGCATGTAAATTTTATTTCACTTCGTTCGTGTTGTCCTTTTTGTAGCAACTTTCGATTAAAGATCGATTAAATAAAGGTGAAAAGATCGAAATGCGAGTGCTGTCGTAGTCATGTCCCTGATAAGGAAACCAGCGCATATTAAAGCATATACATGTCGGTATAGTATATAATATTTCTGTTGAATGTATCACATTGCTTATAAATATTGTGTTCAATTTATTTAGACAGGTGCTGGGTGTCAATAGAATCCAGTAGCAACAAATTAATTAAAATAAATATGAAGATTGGCTTTGTTTTTCAATATCGTTGAAGAAATTTGGAATAACAATATTGGATAACAAAATTTGAAACTTTTTGTTGCCGAGTTTCGAAGCTGACTTTATCTAGGTTATTATGAAATCGTCTTCTATTTCACCAGCACCGTACTTCAATCTGTAAGATAAAATAAGTCGGAAGTAGTAATGTAACCACAACAAGACATGATTTGAGTTTGCACCGAAACAATTCACTTAAGAAATTGACGTGTGTATGTATATTCACCACGTTTGTGTTGTGTACTTGCGCCTAAATCTCGAAAGTGAAGTTTCTTTTTGTAATAAAAAGATGTGAGCTAAATTACGTGACAAATGTTAAGTAATTTAAAACAATTACTGCGTGCTACATAATTTCCTGATGTATATGTATATATTTAATTAAAGAAAGTTGCTGCTAGAGGAAATAAAACACAACGAAACCGACTAGGTACGCTTTTGTGAAATGTTAGACGACAAAGTGTTTCTAAAATAAATAGCAAGCTTTAGAGGGTGTTAATTAGATGCGATAGGGAGTCGCATGACGAGTAAAGCAGTATGGTTTAGGGACAAAAAACATTTCAAACAAAATCAGACAAAGTTGCAATACGAAGCTGGGCGTGAATTGCCAATGAATAGAGAAGTTGGGATAACAACTAAGCAGCTACATCGATGAAAAATGTAAATAGTGATGGTTGTGGAACGACTAATAAATCAAATAAACATCAACATCTTATTACTACGCTACTATACATAATAATCTTTAGACACCAATTGTAATAGCAATTAATTAAATAGCAACATTGTTCATCGTTGATAGAATGTAGTAGGTACTATTTAAAGTAGGTACACTTTGACATGGTACTAAGAATACAAAAGAAACAAAAAATTGACGTTATGAAAACTTTAATAAGTAAATTAATATCTATTGGATAGGTAATAGTAATTTTATTATTAAAGTTTCAGACCGCCATTGCGTTACCTTTCTTATGGGTGGTTCGTCAATAGCCCTATCCTTCCAATAATAAAAAGTAATTACAAGACCAGTAAATAAACACATGCATACATACGTAGACTAAAAAAGATGTTGAAGTCGCGCAAAATCGTCCGGCATTTGGCGTACTTCGTTTGCAGCGATCATGCACGGTCGTGCAAGTCATTAGTAATCTACACTGCCGTTTAATACACGCACTGTTTTATACAACCCCATAAAAACAACTCAAACTGATTTAGATAAGGATTACACACCGGCCAGGATACAGGATCCGTACGTCCGATTCAGCGTCTTGAAAAATGTTCGTATAGAAACTCACGCATTGGACAATGCAATAACACTTTGTACTGACCTATGACACTGACACATTGACCTACTGTTAATGACTTCGACTGTCTACAAACGTAATTCAAGTCTACAGTAACAAAGAACTATTGTAGGCCGACTGTGAACATAAACTTCGTCATTCACCCTCTAATCTAACAAATAAACAATATATGAGCACAAAAAGGAAAAGAAATACTACATGTATTCTACTAAATAGCAGTTGATTGAATGCGGCGTTACAATGTCGTATTTCCCTGCGTGAGTCTACCAGGGCCGGACTGGTACATGCCTGTAATTTTTATTTTACGAAATCGGTGGACTTTCAAACCATCAAACATTTATTTCTTAATTTTCTTTTTTTTATATTGTCCTACCACCTTCTGAAAGCTTGCTACTTATTTCAGAAGCATCCTGTATAATTCGAAGGAAGTACCTGAGACTATATACATACCTATATAGTGAATTTCAAAAAATACCATGAATAAGTTACCATGGATTTAATTCAAGTAATTAATTAGCTAACATATAGAAATTCAGATGTCAAGTTTACCTTATATTTTGCTGTACTTAATAAATTGTAAGATATCATGGACCATACCAAGGATCTCCCACAATCCTTATGGAAAATCTTTGAACATTGACATCCCATAGTTTACATTAATTTACTTTTTAATTACACACCAAAGAGAGCATTATTTGTAGACTGATTTTTCGTATCATTTAATGCGAGACATGAATAGAAACTATTTCGTTATGAATGCATTTGACTATAAAATCCCTCATTTATTCTACGTATCTCTCACACTGTTTGTAACATAGGATGCAACTGAAGTATTTTAACTGTTTAAAAACTTTTTACAAAAGAATGCTGAAACAGCAAAGTTGTTAAATACAACACTCGTAATGAAAATAACTAAACGCTGTATCACACAAACATGTTTGTTTTAATTGAGTTATTCGGAATATGCCTAACTGGACGTACAGAGTTCATTACATAACGCAGTTAATTTGCAAGTTTCTAGTCCTCTTTCGGCTTAATTAATTACCACTAATCCGACCGTTTGAAAGCCGAAAGAGGCAAAAATGGTCGGTCCAGTCAGGAGCATAAATTAAGAGGGTTCGCACTGACCGATAGCCAGTGTCTACAAGAATCTTTGCCCCGATTTATTTCGAGATTTAGCTTCGCATTCGTTTCGATTTCTGCCTATATGCGCGTTTAATTGTATTCCCCCGCGTGATTTATTCCAGTCCCGATTGAATCCTGACAGACCGTATTTGTTTCCATCCAATTAAAACTGTCTGTTTTGTACAATACGATATACAAAATAACATTAGCTACTAAAAAAGTAACAAGATTTATTTCTAAAAGAGAGAAAAACGGAATGGACTTGAAATAAAATCTAATTTTACCGTAGTATGTTCGGTGTCAGTTTAGATACGGTCTACCTATGACGTGTGATCTACCTGTTCCCACCTGTATTTTAATATGCTGTCTACCTGCATGTAAATTTTATTTCACTTCGTTCGTGTTGTCCTTTTTGTAGCAACTTTCGATTAAAGATCGATTAAATAAAGGTGAAAAGATCGAAATGCGAGTGCTGTCGTAGTCATGTCCCTGATAAGGAAACCAGCGCATATTAAAGCATATACATGTCGGTATAGTATATAATATTTCTGTTGAATGTATCACATTGCTTATAAATATTGTGTTCAATTTATTTAGACAGGTGCTGGGTGTCAATAGAATCCAGTAGCAACAAATTAATTAAAATAAATATGAAGATTGGAAAAACTTTGGCGGTTGTTGTAGAACAAACAGAATAGCTCAAAACCCCAACGCCAAAACACGACACTGTAGTTGTCCGAAGCACTTTTCGGTAACAAAGTTACCTTCTTCAGGGACTGAAAGTGCTTCGGACAACTACAGTGTCGTGTTTTGGCGTTGGGGTTTTGAGCTATTCTGTTTGTTCTAATTAAAATAAATTTACTTCGTTTGCCTTTACTTAAGTTTCCAATTTGTCTACAAAAGTAGCTCATACATTGTTTCTAGTTGTGTCGATTAAACTCTTCCGTGTTCGGTTAATCACATTGTCTTCATTGTTTTCTGCTTCGATTTTCTTTCAATTCCTGACATTTTACGCTATTTCTTGCTTCACGGACCAGAATAGCTAATTTAGTTTTTGTCTGAATTGTGGCAGTGTTCAGAGCCACTTGCTTCCTTCTTATGCTCACTGCGTGTCATTATAACTATGAACCGAACTGATCTTGAAAGTTCATTATTTTTCCCGTTGAAAAACTTAATGTAATATCATCTTCGTTAGAACAGTTTTAATAAAACGTAGAACTATTCAATCATACTGGATACATTATTAAATACATACTTATTAATGTTTTTGTGCGCACTAACAAAAAATTAAATTATGTATTACTTATAGTCAAAGGTCGATATACTTTATTAAGGCGTTCCGCAGAATAATCACTGGTTAATACCAGGTTTGACTAACGCTGTTATTATAGGTTAGGTAAAATTTCAAATCAAGGCATCCTAAACTTACCATTTTCGTTTTCATCTTACATAGGTACCTCTTAAAGATTAAATTATATGGTACATAATAATTATATTACAATATAAGTATTAAGTGAAAAAATTTACTTTCAGAGTCACCGAATCCAAGTCCAGTTTTAAATTTATCGAAAAATGCTAGTGGAGGGAGCGCAGGTTCTTTGGGAGATGGGGACCATTCGGGAAGCGAAGCTGAAGGTGCTGATACGGCCCCGTCTCCCAGATCTCCTACACATTCTGCACCGGATGATGATGACGATGATAACATATCCGATCCAGAGGACGACGACGAAAAAGATCAGGGTATGTCCCGACCACTTTTTATAAATTAATTTTTAAGTTCTTAAGAAAACATTGCTACATATTTCTTCTATTTTGTAAATTGTCTATTTTTTTCCAAATTCGAACTTCTTAATATACCTACACCTACGTACATTTAAGGAATTAATTATTTAAATATGTTACATACAAAACTTATAGAAACCCCCACTCTAGTTATTAATTAGAATAGTAAACCCTGTACAACTAGTATAAAAAGGGAATAGCCCAACGAGTAGTCAGTTAGTCAAGTTTTAACGAATAAAGAAAGTATAACGAAGTAATTTCCGTCTTTGATTACTTAAATAAGTGTTATATTGTTAATTACGTGCTTACTAGCTCGGTCTACGAAGTACCTTCGGTAGCTTACATAAGTGTGGACCTAATAATAATAATATAATAACGATAAATAATTTCGATAAATCTACGAGTTCATCTTTTAAGATTGAATCTAGAACTAAATCCTGTTACGTGTGTGTAAGTGGTAAACAACCCCTTTAAGAAAAAAACCAAGTTTTTATTCCACCACGTAACAAAATTAGAGACGAGGATGGGATACAACTGATTCAACGGATACAAATGATAAGGACACCCAGAAGACTACTCCATCATCCTCGACGAGCTGCAAACCTCTCTGGAAATACCCCAGGCAATAAGGACTCACGAGACCTCGCTACGAGANATGTTCGGCTTGTACAGTTATGCCACCCTAATATATACATAATTAAAAAAAAAGCTGTTTGGATTTTAAAAAAATATACTCGAATTATTAAATAAATAACTCCTAAATTAAAATTCTTTCAATTTTATCAAAATTCTCGCAATACTGCAACCAAGCCAGTTCGAGGCGTTATTTTCTCATGAAGTTAAAGCGACATCGCAGCGGAGTGAAACAATTTCATTTCATTGAAAATCGAGCATGTATTTAAGAATTAATTATTAACAATTATTAAGAAACACAGTTTATTATGCCTACATCAATATACATAGATACAAATCAAAAAAATTTGTATTAAAAAAAAAAAAGAAACAATATGTTGAAGTTTCGGCCGCGTGTGCAACAAGAAACGAAGTGATCATGCGAAGAGATCATCTTTACGTGAAATATGGCTCATATAAAAATTCTTGCGAGCCGTTCATCCTAAGAACAAGACTCAACTGATCGTCTGTTATAACTTTGTCGGTAACAAAAACATGAACCGCAGAACACGCATCCGAGTCCGCGATGTGATTTATTGTCAGCTATTGCGTACCGGTATCGCAGAGACATGGCTTGCAACACGGGTCCACGCTGTGGCCCAACTGTAAATTTCAACGTTTTCATGTTAAGTCGGTGTTCGTTTGCACTTTGCAAAAAATTACGTACCATCATCACCATCGACATTGTTTCATTAAGGAATTCCAACAAGGACAATGTTTTTATTGTATAATTATTGAAATTACTTTAAAAGTTATACTTAATACCTACAGAAAGCAACTGAAGGAATTTAAATTAAATTTTAAATTTTAATTTTAATAATCCTTGATAGTATAAAGAATTTATTGTTGAAGGACTATCAAGGATTCTTTCAAATTCTCGCATTATCTTATAACTAATGTGAAAAAGTAGGAAAAGTTTCCATTTCAAAGCGTTTTGTGTTATTGTGTGGGCTCATTTTTACCCTGATTACTAATGCAATATATTTTAAAAAAGGAATTTGACCGCAAAATTTCACCCCTGAAAGCTTATTTTCGTGAATGAATAGCATTCTTTCCAATTCCCACAAGACGTAATTAGCGCTCAGGAATCAGTTTCCAGCCATCCGAAGTAATCTGAGAGATTCATTCATTATCTTAATGCTCGATTTTTTTCTCTGTCGATCTCCATGTGCCTCTATGTTTGACCTCTGCGCGTTTTCACGTCGTTATTAATGATGCGCATGACTCGACCGGAACCTTTGCAGCATATTTCCTCACAATCGTTGGTTTCAAATTCAATTTCGAGCCGAAACGATGCGAAAGCCAAAAAGAAAAACTATTCGCTATTAAATCGAACTTTAAACAATTTATCTGCCGATTTTTGAATGCAAAAACAAATTGATGGGAATACTAAAAGATAAAACTCAATTATGCATTATTTGAGATTATAGAGGGCGCTTTTAACGCTGTTCGCACCCCAAGAGTGTTCCACAGGCCGAGCAATAATTATGAAGCTATAAATTCAGTGGTGTCGAATATAATAACAATATATGAAGGATAACATTCCTTGTAATTTTTGTATTAAGTTGTGAATGCAGGTCATTATTTCATAGAGATATAAAAATAGAGTGTGTTTTTTCCATTTAACCATCTATCCTATGTATGCCAGTAGTGATATAGAATGGTACCCTCCTTCACTCAATAGAGTGCCTCTAGCGATTCTCTCACGTTGGCAGCCTTTTCCTACGCTCTCTCTGCATTGCCTATTAAAAATTGCACGCCACTGATATCCTGTAACTCATTGACCAATGAGAATAACCATTCCTTTCTCAGTTGTATTAATAATTTTTATTACCTTTGTGGTACGTTAAAAATAATGCGCTGCTACTTCAAAAATTGTTTCATTATTAGTCATTTGACGTAATAAACGTTAAAAATAATTACCTCGCATTAAAAGTAAGATCAATTCAGTGTTACATAAAATGCACGACCGTGGTACAATTAAAATAAACCATCAACTTCATTTAATTTAATTTCTTCTCAAAGTCCGCTCTCCTTTTCTTTTGTCGATCGAAAATTAAAAAGGTTTATATTAAGTTGAACTATTCCGACAAACTACCCTCCTGTCGTCGGCTGAAAGACAAAGGCTTTTCAACGCAGTTATTAATTATTTTGTGGAGAAGGTAACCTTTGATCCGAATATTAGGCGCCAAAGAAATACAATATATTTGTTCCTATTAGTTTGTGGCAAGTTTAATTTCGGACGATGAGCTGTGATAAATAATTCTTAATATTTATATATACATAAGGGAGTAAAAAATTGAATATCCCTCCGCTATTTAAAAATGAGTTATTTAATAATATCGTTGGTTTGTGTGAAATAAGTATTATACACTTTTTTTAATGGTAAAGGTATTTCATCTAGGTAGAAGATGAGATATAATTTGACTACAAATCTATTATGTTAATCAAAATTTATCTGAAATTATTTATGATAAAGTCTGCATAATTCTATTTAGTTTTTAGTAACCCTTATGTATAGTTTAAAAAGTTGTATATATGTTAGGCCCGAAGACCGAAAACGCTCAGTGGCCGGAAAAAACGGCCACATCGCGTTCTGGCTGCCTTCGAACGCACAGAACGCGTTTTGGCTGTTTTTAAACGCTCGCAACGCGTTCTGGTAACTGTTAAACAGCCGGAACGCGTTTTGTCAATTGTTGAACGCTCACAACGCGTTCTTAATGTTCGACTTGTATTATTTGCCGCTTTCTACCTGCGTACAATGAGATTTATATTGTACTTATAAAACAAATGAATTTCAATCCATTTTTCAGTTTTTAGGAAACAATTCAATTATTGACAACTATAATTGGATACCAAAGATGGGTTCGGTTTTTCTCGCCGAATCATTTCAACAATATTAAATTTCTTATAATTGTTTTTCAGTTCTAGGAAGAAAGATACACTGAACACTTATATTGTCGAGCATATGATATATGAATCAATGAATGAAAAAGCGAAAAGTTATTCATTAAATAAATGAATTTCGATTTATTTTCTACACATTTAACTTATTGTGGAGTACAACACAAACTTAAATTCATGCCTTTTTTACTTTATTAGAAACGATTTAATTTTTGACAACCACAATTAAATACAGACGAGGGGTTTTTTCGAACTTTCAAGTACTTTACATAGGTACATTACTTATTTTTACAAGAACTGTTTGAATGACATTTCGAATTACATAGTACATTTAAATTGCGACACTTGCATTTTTGTCAGCGTTCAACAATTGTTAAACAGTTACCAGAACGCGTTGCGAGCGTTTAGAAACTGCCAAAACGTGTTCTGTGCGTTCGAAGGCAGCTAGAACGCGATGTGGCCGTTTCTTGCGGTCACTGAGCGTTTTCGGTCTTCGTGCCTAACATATATATTGATTTTGGTTTTTGGTAAAATCTATATAAATCATTTTGGTTTTTGGTAAAATCTAAATAAATCACCGTTGTTATTGTATCACTATAATCCGTTAGGCAGAAGCTGAGATACAATTTAATATCCAAATCTGCACTAAACGACCAACTAATTTAACAAGTGTTATTAAATTGCACACTTTGAACTTAAATACGAAAGGGAACATTTAGGCAAACAAAGAAATTTTATAATGCAACCAATGTCTCAGTGGGAGGCCCATGGTACCTTCGGAAACCCTAGTTCGGAATCATCCGAGTAATCAAATACGTCCTCTCTTTTCGACCGGTTTACTTTTTCTTGCTATCGCAACATGTGCTCGACTAAGCAAAATATGTGCGCCGTTTAAAAGTCGAATTAGCAATATATGTACCGTAAACGTCTCGAGACCATACATATATACAACGATCGATTCATTCAGTTGCAATTTTCGATTTTCGTTTGATACCCGTCAACGTAACATCGAAAAGCAATTTGTGGGGTATCGAAACACAAAGAGTGGCATGCTGGTGCATTTTTGTTTTATTAAAACAACTGAAAGATCAAATATCGCCTGCTCGGATATAATGTGACAAAATGTTTGAAAAAATTAAATAATTGTTGGGATTTATAGGTAGGTTTGACCACTCATACTATTCATCATCATCATCATCTTAAGGTCATCAGTCCTAAGACTGGTTGGACATGCACCTCCACTCTTTCCTATCCTGAGCTAAACTTCGCATTTTCCTAAAACTAGAACAGCCCACATCCTTAACTATTTGCGAACAGTAATCTAATCTAGGTCTACCTCTACCCCTCCTAACTCCTGTTTCTGCCTCTAATATGTCTCTGACTAGACCTTCATGCCTGAGAAGGTGTCCTACCAACCTAACTAATAATAATGTAATAATAATTATCCAATATGTAATTGTTTTTGTTCATGGTCATGGAACTTAAGACAGAAATTAGTATTCGTGTAAGAGAAGTGCTAATTATAATTGTTGTTTTCCGTATGCACTACCAATGTGGGTCAATCGACCTGTATGAAACAGACAAAAGTGACGAGAATTGTTTAATAGATTTTACTGCCCTTGCGCTTGGTGAAGAGACGCAGTAAAAACCCAGAGAATACGGTGACGAAATTCGGGTCGCCACATAAAAAATAGTTACCACAAAAATCTACATACCATACATACTAATGTTTTACATTATAAACCAAAATACACTCGTTTAAATTCGAAGTTTCAAAAATTTAAAAACCACATCGAAACAAATACACCACTAACGATCAAATCTGTAATACCTCATTCACCTTACCCAAGCAGCCTGATATAGAGATCTAGATCTCAAGATTAGTTCAACATTGGGTACGTCACCAGGTCTACTTACCCTAGCCCGAGTGTTTCTGTGACTTACCTGAGGTAGGATATGCTGGGGCAGTACGTAGTAATAATATTTCACTAGCGCATAACAAAATATGTAAAATATTAATATAAACTAATGTCAAAATATCATTAGAATTTTATTTTCCATTATGCTACCCCCTCTGATGTTTCTTTATTTGTTGATAATACTCGCACTTTACCGAGTGTTTTCTTTTTTATATCAAACTATTATTTTTTGACATATTTCAGGCATACTCCTTCAAAAATTACATACAGGCAGTTCTACTGCTATACTTTTATGATTTGTTAAAGAAGATGCTACTATTTTGCTTTTATTTTGTTGCAGATTTAGACGAAGGTGATTTGCCCCTACCGGCAGCTCCGGTTAGCGATCCCCAGCAAACAGCCCTGAATTATTCTACCCTGGCAAGTGCGGTTGCGTCAGCGAACGGCCCAGGACCGGATTCGACGATTTCGTCCACCGAGTCATTGCTGCGCAACATTCAGGGACTGCTCAAGGTGGCTGCGGAGAACGCTAGGCAACAGGAGAGACAAATCAACTATGAGAAAGGTACAAATAGCAACATGGTATATCTCTTGTCGTTGGCCCAATATTATATGTATTTGGCCGCCACACAGAAGTGTTGAGAAATTGTTTAAATAACGAACGTGTACTTATGGTAGCTTTATTCCGATAAAATTCCCATTAAATCGAACCAAAGAAGTGTTCAAAACAGACAAAATATGTACGTACTATAAAATCAACGTAATCGAATATATCCTAACTTAACCGTATTACATAAAATATCAATCAGTCTTATCTGGCTTACTTCAACTTGATCGCGAGAAGATATTTTAGTGGATAAATTACAAATACAGTTTCAGTACAATAAAATAACTAAGTAGATTAACAATATATTGAATAACACTCTATTTAACAAATCCTTTGTACAATAAATCTGTACAGAATATGTTGTTTTGTTTGAAATTTGTTTGGTCGATTTTATGGGCGTTTGTCGTCATCTGTACAATTTGTAAAAATACCTTAAAAGACTTATTACAATCAACTAGCGCAAGTAACTTACTTCACTATTAAAGCGAGAAAGCTGTTTAACTGAACTGAGTAGCACACGTAAGGAATAAAAGCTTTAAATTAACAATCCGATCTGTCAAAAATACGGTTGTTATTATCGTGTCACACATCTCCGAAATGTTTTTCTTGGAAGTTTTACATATAATTTTAATTTTCTATGGAATGTTTCTATATAGATTATTAGCAGAATCGGAACCGTATCTATACATATGTATAAATAAGCACCATTATAAATAGCTATTTATAAACACAACTCGGTGAAAATTTAATTTAAATTCTTGTTAGCTAACACAGGTGAAACTGATGCTGCGTTTTTCGCGATTTGTTTCGATTTCATTTACGTTTCATTGAAAAATTGAATAAATACAATAGATACATATTAAATTAATATCGTTCAAAAATAATATTTATTTCACGTTTACTATAAAAGCATCTGTAAATACTGTATATATTGCAAAGGACTTCTTAAGTAATTTGTTTATGATAGTTAATACTGTAATCATCGTTTAAAATTATAATTCACGCTTTAAACTTTACTTTTCAAGACACATATCAAACAATAAAAAAAAGTATAGGTACATAATAAACCGTAGTTTTTATTTGAAGGAATTTTAATATCATTTGAATTAATAGCTCCAAAAATTTTATATTTTCTCGGAAATATAATGAATTCAATTTTATAATTGCTGAACAACATGTAAAATCATTATCACCTCCGCGTCTTCAGAGCTTGATAAAGTAATGGATCACTCAACAATAAATGAATTCTTATTCATTTATTTAAAAAATAATGTGACCACCCAGCATGAGAAACGTGAAAAAATATGAGATGTAAATAAAAAGAAAAAGCTTCAACAAAATGGACTGTATACATATAACTTAGGAAAATGTAAGGCGCAAGTGTTTTATAAACAATAATACTAATAATAATAATTGCTAGTTGAGTAAAAGGCAAAAACGCTGCTAGGAAAAAAGGTACTGTAGAATGATTATCCCGGTGTTGACAGTGATGGAATTTAGCTTTTTGAAACGCTGGTTGCTAAATAAAACAATTATTATTATCATACCTACTATTGTTTTTGTAATGTTAGATTCTGTGCCATCGCACCCAGCGTTTTAGACTAGATGTTTATAATTTTTACAATAGATTAGTTCATCTGCACGTATTTATAAATCGGGTGAAAATTTTGATATATTCTGAGCGACCGTTCGAAACGACTTATTAAGAGGAATATAGCAAAATTTTCTTCAACCAAAAATAATTTTAAGTAGAATGAAATTCATATTATTTACTATTAGATGTAGCATTAATTTGTGTGATGTACATGTTAATGTTTCAAAATTAAAATAAAAAGAACTTATATAAAAAAATACTTCGTGTTTTATTTTAATACAAGTACAATTTAATTGGTCATCTCTTACGATTAGTGAATTGTTAGTGAAATTGGCTGACTAGAGTTTCAATATCTAAGGTAGGTAAAGTATTAACTTTTTTTTAAAAACTTGCGTCACTTCTTATATAACAAGCTCATTCCGATGCCAACTTACAAAACTAAATTCCACCACTTGTCACATTTTAGTAAAGTAAAAACATTAGTCGCAGTTGGTAATACTTTTGAGCATTTTCGCACTTAATTGTTTTCCTTTAGATTTTATCTAACTTCTACGTAAAGCATTTCCACGGTGTAGTCTACAGCTTAAAAAATTACGATGTTTAAGCCCTTTGTGGAAGTATTTCTAATATTTATTACAAAACGTGTTCGCTGTTTCGCTTGGTTTAATCTCTAGGTGCACCTGGTGCTTCAGAATATTCGTTAGCAACTGCAGTATTTGTATCATTCTGGTTTTACATGCCTGGGAACTATCTTATCTTTGTTGTAAATAATTAATTTAAATTTAAAGTATACATAAGTACTACATTCTTTTTGTGTCTAATTTTCTAAAAGTACAATTTTATCGATTTTAAACAGACACAGAAAATAAATAAAAGTAAAACAAAAATCCTGGTATGCAAGAGAAGAAAGGGTAAGGAAATAGTAAATATAAAGATAGGAGACGAAAAATTAGAAGAACTGGGTGATTTTCGGTTATCTAGGAAGTCAGATAACTCAGGATGAAAGGTGGAGTAGAGATATAAAACAGAAAATAGTGCAGAGTAGAGTCGCCTTTAACGAAAAGAAGTCACTTCTATGCTCGCGAACAATTAAGAAATTCGAAAAAAGGGCGACGGAAAAGGAAAGATTAGATGCGTTAGAAATGTGATGTTACAGGCGAATGATGAGGATACCGTGGATAGAGAAGGTTAGAAATTAAGAGATATTAGAAAGATTGGGAAAACAAAGGGCTCTATGGAAGTCAATGAGAAATAGCCGAGATATGTTAGTAGAACACCTTCTCAAGCATGAAGGGCTAGAGACAACGGAAGCAGAAATAGGAGTTAAGAGATAAAAGGTTCGAATTTTTAAGTGGAACGATTACCATCATAAATTTTCACTGCGCTACTCTATCATGTTATGGAAACTTCCCCTGCGGGCGCCCGTGGTCACAGGACTTCATTGGTAGTATGTGTAATTCAGAATACAATAACATACTAAAAATTAAAAAAGTGCTTTGTCGTGAATGTGTGTCTTTAAGAAAGAACTATTTCTTACTACAAAATCGTTAAAAATAATCAGAAAATCTCATGCTAACAGTTATTAATAGGTAATTGCTTGTAAGTAAGTTTACATTTGAAAAAGAATTATTCATAATACACAGCACCTTACCTACCAAGAGAATTTTTCAAATAATTTAAGTTTACTACTATCTCACCTAGCAGGTACTGCATTAAATCTCAAGTAGACACAAATCATAGTCAGATTTTAACGTTTTATTGTGAGAGATTATTGTTTAATGAATTGTTTGCCAGAACTTGGAACCTTGAGATTTACATACTCTTAAAAGTATCAGCTTGAATACGGAAAAAATAAAAGAGCATGTTGCATTGTTCTGCCAGTGGCGTGCGTACCTGTATATTAACAAACCGACATATAAAGAGAGTTCAAAGAAAAAAGAAAAACAAAGTAGCAGAAAGAAAAGTGAATTCTCCTACCGATTTCGATTCCGATAAAACTAAGTGACATTCCGTGTAATTTAAAATGGCCGTATTGTCGTTTACAATGGGCGAATTTGCACGCTCAGATCGTGGACAGTCCGGATCGCTAAAAGGGCGGCTCGTGTGTGGCAGCTCGACGCGCTCTTATTAAGTTATATTATTCGTACGAAACGAACGAAACCCGCGAGATACAATCGCGTTGCCTTTATCTGCGGATATCGCGCATCTCGGACTGCGTTAAGACCCGATTATTGGTGCCTGAATTCGCTCTCGGGTCTTTTAACTTATTAAAACTACCGTCGAATGCGCGACAGCCTATCTAAACGACTTTATAATGGTTCACATTACCTCGTTCGAGATCGAGATAGCGCGCTTTCGACGGTTATTTAACTTCCAACTAATTATTTTCAAGTCTGCTTTTTTACAATTATACATTCGGCCAATTGGTTGTGATAATGCCCGGTTTTACAGCCGATCGAGAACGTTATTGGGATATAAATTGTTTCGTAAATGGGCGATTTTTATTCAAATGTGCTGATTTTATTTATAATCCCGTTCCGATGCGATATACATAGATCCGTATAGAATATGGATTATAAAGACATCATAAGAATTCAATATAAAATCAGGACAAGTAACCTTGAATTTAATATACTTTACTTGTAGTATCTTCCATATCTACTTTCTTAACAGTCTTTCCATATTTTAGTCCAATACAAAATTTGGTAAAATCTAATTTGGATAAAAGGTCGAAATGTTTACTAACATGTATGTTACGTTAACATATGAAGCGTATCGATAACCAATAAATACGATTAAAATTTATATAATAAATGTAATTTAAATAGTTTGAACTCATAACTATATATACTCATTAATAAAGCAGGTAATATATATCAAATATTCACAAGAATATTGTTTTAATGTTATTTTTTTCTCATAATGGCAACAGTTAATTTTTTATATATGATAGCCCAAATAATGTAATTTTGGATGAGGCTATTCACCGGTACCGTACCGGTGATTAAGAAGCTATTCACCGGTACTGCACCGGGAGCTAAGAAGTTATTCGCCTGTACCTAAACGTTGCATGTTTTTGAATATATGATTGCCCAAATAATATATTTTTGAATGAGGCGATTCACCGGTACCGTACCGGTGACTAAGAAGCTATTCACCGTTACTGCACCGGTAGCTAAGAGTTATTCGCCGGTACCCAAACGTTGCATGTTTTTGAATATATGATTACCCATATGATATATTTATGGATGAGGCTATTCACCGGTACCGTACCGGTGAATAGACATATCGGCTTCTTTTAATGCAGTGGTTTTCACTACTTTGATCATTAATAAAATAAATATATTTTGCAAATCTATGATGA